CTGCAGGCTGCAGAAGCTTCTAGACACAGGGAAGGCTGCAGGCTGCAAGAGCCTGGAGCATTCAGGGGCCTGCAGGAGTTCAGTGTGGCCAGGACAGGGTGGGGGTGGGGGGCTAGTGGGCAATAAGCCTGGAGAAGGAGCCCAGCCTAGAGTGTGGGCACCTTGAAGGCCATGGGTAGGAGGTTGAACTTGATCCCAGAGTGACAGGAGCCAGGAGGTTTATAAAAGGAGATTATTTGGGGGTTACTATGCCTATGCAGACAAAGGTGCTGAACACCTGCCTATAGCTCTTAGCCCCCCCCCCCCCGGCTCCAACCCCTTTGGAAACATACTGTCGGCTTCTGGAAACCACACACGCGTGCCATGTTCTCAGAACTCTGCCTACAATCCTGTAGGAGTGCCGCCATGGGCCGCTGAACTTGATACAATTCTCCACTGAGACCCTGAAGGTCAACGTGTGGCTGGGCAGTTTTGTTATCAGTAGGTTCTAGCACTGAAATTTTAAACCTCAGCTATACTCCCCTGAAAGCTGGTACCTGGCTGGCATTTTACGCCTCCCCAGGAACCCTCTCCAGATGGCCATTTTTGGCCCCAAAATGCCCCAAGTCGGGGTTGGCACTGCCCTCTGAGAATAAAACAGACCCCGGCAGACTGTCACACCCTGTGGCTCTGGGTCTGGCCCATATTCTTTTTTGAAAAATATTTATTTACTTCTTTTGAAAGAGAGAGAGAGAGAGAGAGAGAGCAGGGAGGGGCAGAGAGAGAGGGAAACAGAATCCCAAGCAGGCTCCAAGCTGCCAGCACAGAGCCTGACACAGGGCTGGAACCCACAAACCGTGAGATCGTGACCTGAACCAAAACCAAGAATCAGTTCAACCGACTGAGCCACCCAGGCATCCCCAGCCCCTATTTTAAATGCCAGGGTCCCCAGCAGCGACCCACAGACTGACCGTCAGGCCCCTTCCTCAGCCCCACCCCCTCCACCTACGAGGTCTTGTCATCCTGTGCAGGCAGGGAATTGTCATAGGAACTTTCCCAGCCCCTGTCCTGAGCTAGGGCCCAAGCCAGGCGGAGGCACCAACGGGACACCCATTAGTACTGACTACTATGCCACCGACCAGTAAGTGCTGGAGGGCAGAGCACGGCACTCAAAAGTCCAAGGAGCCTGTGGGGGCACAGCTCCTGCCCCGCTACTTAGCATGTCCGTGACCCTACTATGAGGTTATGGCCTCTCCGTGCCCTCACTTCCTCATCTGTGAAATAAGGACAAAATAGTGCCTCCTTCCTCAGATGCACTAGACGAGTGACAGCTAAAGAGCACGGAAAATCGCACATGGCATAAAGATGCCATTGTCAATATCCACCCAGGCAAAGCTGGCCATGCAGCCCGTGTCCCTGCCACCTCGCGGGTCTTCACGACTGTTTGTCCAGAGGGGTACTTGTTATGGATTGAATTGTGTCCCCCAAATTCCCAAGTTAAAGCCTTCATCTCCAGTATCTCAGAATGTGACCTGATTTTGGACATGGCGGTAGGGAGGTCTTTGCAGATGCAACCAGTTACTATGAGGTCCATTAGCGTGACTGGTGTTCTTAAAAAGGGGGACGTTTGGGCACAGAGACAGAGAGGGGAGATGTGCCGTCAAAGCACAGAGGGAAGACAGCACCCACCAGCCCAGGAGAGGGGCTCGAACAGACCGTCCCTCACGGCCTCAGAAGCCCATGAATCCTGCCACCGCCCTGACTTTGGAGGTCAAGTTCCAGAACTGCTGTCTCAACCACTGTGTTCGTGGCAGCTCCAATAAATGACAATTTCTGTCCAGACACGATTTATTTTCCAGAATTACAATAAGGTGCCAATATAAAAATGTACACTTCTTTCCTTTTATCTGGCGAATATAATAGAGGAAGAATGAATAGACCACACAGAAGAGAGAAAACGGGGGGCAGAGGTTTGCTATTTTCTTTTTGAAAAAATGACCACAGAGAAACTCATTATTAAAATGAGCCAAGCGGGCTGCCCTTCATTCCCTGAGAAAACGTAGCACATTTAAAGGTCTAGTTAATGTGAAAGAGATTTATCTTATCCAAAGAAAAAGTGGATTCTGTGTGTGTGTGTGTGTGTGTGTGTGTGTGTGTGTGTGTGTGTGTGTTAGCTTGTTTAACGAGTGATCTTCTTTCAGTAAGGTTGCTCACTGATTTTTCCTTAGATGTAATTTGGAGGGAGGCAGGATCCGGAGCTCTTGTAAGGAGCTGAGTTAACTCTCCCTGCCAGGGAGGCAGGCTGGTGCAGGAGGAACAGAGCACTCTAGACTCCCATCAAACCTGGATCGGGCTCCAGGTCCGCTTCCCACTAGCTGTGTGACAACAGATCGATGCACTGCCTCTCTGAGCCTCAGTATCCTCCTATGTGGAGTGGGGATACCATTAGTACCCACCTCACAGCCTTCTTGAGCACTGAATGAAAATAATGCCTTTGAAAAACCCCCAGGAGGGTGCAGAACACAGGGCAGGGATAGGTTAAACATGAGCTTTTACTCTACTGTCAGTCAAATGAAAGAATCAATGTCCAATCTGCTCTTGTTTGCAGATTGTAAGAAGTTCGCCCAAGGTCACATGGCTAGTCATTAAGAGAACCAGAAAGGGACCCAACCCTGTGTGCGTAGTCCTGGGGACCCCCTGGGTGATGATGCTCGCCCGAGGCTCCAAAGAGCCCTTGGACCTGGGCCCTGCCCTCAAGGAGCTCACAGTCTAAGGAACGAGAAGTGAAGAAACATGGACGGCACTCGCCACCAGGGAACCGTCCCCACCTTTGGAGTTGTGTGGGAGGAGGGAGAGGGGGTCATCATCTTCGGAAGGAAGACCTTACGGGCATGTGGCAGTTACATAACACGCACACCCAAGGGACTCATGTGGCACGGGGCCTGGCACACAGCCGGGTCTTGTTAACAGCTGGACAGCTGGACGGACAGGAGGGAACAGATGATGAGGGATGAGGGGTAGCTGGCTCCCAGTAGAGTGGCTGGATGGAGAGGCGGACAGCCAGATGGTGGGGTGAATGAGATGATGGAGCATGGGTAGACAAGCAGATGGATGGATGTGCAGGCACATGGGTGAACTGGTGGATGGGTGGATGAGAAGGTGGACAGATGGGCAGTGAGGTGGCTGTGCTGAAGAACGGGCGGGTGAAGGCACGTGACTGGCTATGCAGATGGGTGGGTCAGATGACTGATGGAATGAAGGATGGATGG